ATGAGCTTAGGGATGTTGGGACGAGTTGCAAACAGTTTAATATGCTCCATCAGCTTCTCAGGACTATACCTTGCATATAGAACTCCCAATTCTGTAAAGATGCCCATATGTGCTCGCTCGAGACCCAGACCACTCTTCATGAGGGATATGAGCTCATGATTAAGGCATCCCCTGTTCTGGTAATACTCACTGACCTCCTCCAAATCATCAACCTAACGTTGCATCATACATCCCTACTTATATTGAGGGAATGATAAGTTTAATTTCCCTTAAGGGATATGCTAGAACTCGTGCAGTAAGTCACTGAGTTGGGTTATAGACTTATAGTAGTAGTGATTATATAGGAAAGCCTGTGCGCTGCTAAAGTCCTAAATCAATTTTTGACCATGGCATCATACCGGACCTTTTCGTATAGTCTGACTTTTTTATATAAATCAGAAAGATTATTCTGCATTATTAGATGCAGCATATTTAACAAACACGGATTATGGACAGCTGTTAATCCCTATGGAAGTTTCATGACACCTTAATCCCAAATTATGCTATGCTTACAAAATCAGGACCACACACGCGGCTAAATCAAAGATCGAAATCTTGTCTAAAGTTAAGAGACACATCAGATTCGCAGGACGCTTCGATGTACAAGAAAGTCCTACCCCAAATCCAAAACAGTACCAATTCAAGAGGAGATTAGTTGGCAATTAGCAAATCACATTTTTATTTGAAGGGCAGGTAGATATATTAATTTGGCAGGCATAAAAATCACATGTTTGAGATTTTCCAATGTCCACTGTTAATGAAACAGAATAAAAAAATAAGCACCAAACCGTACAATTGGATAAGCTTAGTATGATATTGTAACAAGTTATTGCCGACCTTCGTTCCTTCTCAACACGGTCACGGCCAATAGGAAAGAGACAAAGAAGAAGAGATTTTTATAATGTCACTCATGACCCCCGAATATCCTCTCAAATTTGCCAATAGCACGCGTTGAGAGTTTTACCACTTGCATTTTCTGGTGTTCAAACACATAATCATTAGCTAAATCACATTAAGAAAAGCAAAGAAAGTTCCCATGGTTTCTCGAATATTTTTTGGTACACCAGTTCCCATGGTTTCTCGAATTACTTTCAACCTTCGGAGTAATACATAGCGTATATTACATCAGAGTCTAAACTTTTCAAAGTCAACACCAAGGGTCATGGTCCATTAATTATTATTCTATAAGCTAAATTTTAATATTTGAATTTTAAGTTAATATTTTTTTAAAATTTTTTTAAATATAAAAAAATTAATTTGGAGGTGCAAAAATGAAAAACCAATTGGCAGTCAATCCAAATCACATTCAAAATGAGGCCGAGAGTAAAAAGAAATTATATACAAAATATTATAAAATATCAATAAAATATTTCTAAATATTAAATTACACTGAATTAATAAATTACACAAGCTGCCGAACCGCGTTTCTCGGTTCTGAACCCATTGCAGCCCATACGGTCGACAGCTCGACCCAGTGCACCCAAGGTTTTGTTTTGACTGCTTTAACCCTGTCAGCTCCTCATAATTACCACACTGCAACTCCACCAATTCCGAACTTGTTCCTTCCCCACAATTCTCAACCGTCTCCGACGCGTAACTCCTCACGGCCACCCATCCACTCGATTCCCAAATTGGACATCCGCTCGTCGTCAATTTGCCGATCCTCTCCCCGACGGAAACTTCACAGTCCTCCATGTTTCCATCGTCTTCAAAATCTGAAGTAACGAAATCGAGTACGCAACGGGGAGACAAGTCCGTTATCGGATGCGGCGGCGACACTGAAGCAATAAATGGATGCTCCAACAGCCTACTGCAGCTCCACCGTTGGTTTGGTTCTCTTTGCAAACACTTGTCAACAAAATCGCGACCCCGTTCCGATAGCTGAATTGGTAATTGAGGCAACTCACTCGAGAATCCAATTCGACTCAGCGAACCTAATCCGTGATCCTCCCATGCTGGCTTCCCGGTGACCATCTCGATAATTGTGCACCCCAACGACCAGACGTCACTCTCCGGTCCTTGATATTCTCCTCGGATCACCTCCGGCGCCATCCAGAGCGGGCTTCCCCGTGGCAGGACAGCGGTGCCTCTGCTTTGGGTTTTAATTTCCATCGCCGAACCGAAATCGGCGAGTTTGACGAAGGCGGAGTTGGGACCCACCAGAATGTTTTTTCCTTTCACGTCACAATGCACAATGCCTTCCGCGTGTACGAACTTCAAAGCAGACACAATACACCGAGTCTGCCACCGCAAAAACCTCTCGTCTACGTCACTGAAACGGCGCGCTGGAGTTGCCATGTCAGCGACGGTGCCACCTGGCAAGTACTCCATGTGCAGGTTTCGGTAGGAAGTCGTCGGCGACTCGTATGACACGTCATCGCCAAGGTACTCCACGATGTAAGGACAGCCGGAAAGCGAGCGTAGAGTCCGAATTTCGTTCTCCAGAGACTCAATCTGATTAGGCAATCCTATTTCCCGGCAAACAGACTTGACCGCGAAAACTTCACCGTCGGCGTTACTAACCGCTATGCTCACTGAACCGAACGACCCTTTGCCGATACACTTCCCTCTGGTCCACCCTGATGCTCTGCGGTTGTTCTGTTTCTCCATGGCTTGTGCTCTCTTTTGTGTGTTTTGATCCGAGTCTGGGTTCCTAGAAAATGAGTATATATATATATATATAAAGAGATTGCCAAGAATTTCGACAGAAGCAAACTTCTTCTTAATAAGGTGACGTGGACTTTTTAAATGGATAATGTGAAAACAACGGTTTGGTAATGGAAGGAATGGGGAGTTCAGGGGTGGGAAAGTGCGTTCCGAGTTGATGACGTGAAAGGGATCCTTATCCAAGGACCACGTTTAATTTCGGTGGAAATTTACTTCCGAGGTAGGGATTAGCTGTTGGAGGAGTTGGGCGTTATTTTCAACACGTGGCCTTTTCTGGTAATAAAGGGTTTCAGAAGGTTTCGGTAAGGGAAATTTTCTGGTCAATACAAAATGATCTGTTTATTATTTTTTTTTTAGGAAATGAAGACAGATTGATTAAGCATGCTAACACGTCTAGTGTCAAAGAAAAAAAGGAAAAAAAGAAAAAAAGAAAAGAAAAGGTCATGTACCATACACGTTCTTCAGTGTGAAAAGGTCATGTACCATACACGTTCTTCAGTGTGAAAAGGTCAGTGACGAACGTTATTGGGTATGCATATATGGTAAAATTTGCAAATTAGCATTCCTTGTGATGGTTCTGGGGATGTAAAGAGGTTCATCTTTCTGCGACATCTTAATAATTAAAAATTAAAATTTTTATTTTATTTATATTAAATTTAAAATTTAAAATACGTGAAAACAAATTAATAAGAAAAAAACTATAACTTATTGAATAATTCATAGTCTAATGTGAAAAGAAAAAAATTAATGAGAGGTGCTGAGTTGGTGGCCAAAAGGGTAGTCTGGCAAATTAAAATGTAGAGGTACTTGGATGCGTACATGGCAGAAAACAGTAGTTCCACGTTGCAGCAAAGAGAAGGCAGACCAAC